CTTGGACATGCGGGTGGTGTAATGGATAACGGCTCGGAACTGGAGATCGGAGAATCAAGTTCTAATTACAGCCGGGTTCATTATATTCATATATACGCGCAAATGACCTTGGAAAAGGTATGAATCTATTTCTTCTCCCCGCCACAGCGATGGGTTAAATAGTAGGACTTGTATCGGTTAATTGCCATTATCACCAAAGAAATTCATACAATCCAAAAATATTTTCTGGCTTTAAATCGCCTGTAATAGTTTGATGAGCCGTAAAAACAAAGTTTCTAGACTGACTGTAATCCATTGCTATTTAACCCATAAACCTGTAGCTAAAAAAAAAGAGATAGATTTATGCATCTAACAAGGAAATTTGAGTGAAGGAGAACGCATATGGCTGAGTGGGAATTTGAACCCGGTTTGCTGATTTCAGTTTCTGCGCGGGTAACCGTTGCATTACCTGGACTTTAATATTCAAGAAATTTTATTAGAAAAATAAGCGCTCTCCAGCAGTATTCGAAATTGCATTCCCCTAGGGGAACCGTCATTAGATCTAGAGTAATTTTCCAATATTAACAAGAAGTTAAGATTGTAGCAGTCGAGGAAAACTCCTTTCAGCAGTAATAGAACTTACTCCTTAGCAATGGAATACGAAGAGAATGAAGATAAATCGACTCTTGTGTATGTGGACTGGCGGGTCCTAGATGTGAAGGTCTGAACTGGTGGAACTAAGGAATGTAGCTCGCCTAAACACCTGCCAGGAAAATAGCAACAGAGTTGCGGTAAACTGGAAAGGAAAAGGGCTGTAGGTTGAGAAATAATTCATCATCCACAAGGCGATGTAGACGCTTTTGAACTCTTTCCAGGCACGAAATTGTGTATTAATTGTAGAACCGATCAGCTCTCAACGTGATTTCTATTTGATCCTGATCAGTTCGATAAGGTCAAAATGGCAGCCGATATCCAAAACGACATTTAATCTATTGTTAACTGGGGCAGTGGATGGCGTGTTAATTTTAACGCCTTCAAAATTAAACTTCTCACTATTAATAATTAGACAGACTCCTCTCAACATGAGTGATACTAACCTTCAGGAAAGTGACTTGTTGCGCTTTTTCGGGATAACATTCTCAGCTGACATGAAGTGGAAAGACTATATTGAATCCATTGCTAGGTCAGCTGCTAAGAAATTTGGTTAGAATAGTAAGCTTAGTAAGCTTAGTATATTGCTGCCACCTATGCTGCAGTTCCATTGCAATTTACTTTGAGCTTCTTGATAATATCCAAAGAAGAATCACCAATATTATTAGTCCTGATCTGGCATCTCGGCTTCAGTCACTTTCCCACTGCCGTAAAGTTGCCTCCATGTGTCTTTTCTATAAATACTTTCATAGTAATTGTTCGGATAACCTCTTCGCTATGGTACCTAGACCTGATGAATTTAAGCGTAGTTCTAGACTGACGACAAGATCTCATCAATTTACAGTTGAGCTGACTAGATATAGCCGTAAATTTTATACTAACAGTTTTTTCTCGCACTTTTCGCTTGTGGAACTCCTTTCCAGCTCCATGCTTTCTAGCCAAATTTCATCTTCAAAAATTTAAATGCAGTGTTAATCGCTATCTACTGTCCTCCTGATTTACTCCTTTTGTTCCCGCTCATTAGTTATATTTCAGTTTCTAATTTTTCCACACCCTGTAACCCCTTGTGTCTTAGTGGATTTACTGCCTTGCATGGGGTGAAATTTAAGTGTGTATTTCAGGCAATTGTTCCTGAATTTAAATCTTTGCCGAGTGACCCATTGATGTCTTGCCAGATTATGGTTAACAAATATCTATACACATTTCCTACCTCCACTTCATTTCAACCATTATTTTTTTCTAAAAGGGCGCTCTTTCGTCTGGACAATAACCAGACAAGCAGAACTGATTAAATAATTATCTGAATCCATGCCTTCACTGGCGAGACAACATTATCTGAAATATTTACTAATACTCTCAACTGGAATACAATATTTCGAATAGTTTTGTATAGAATTGTGGCGGTTTTATGTCTATTTCAGAGCAGTCTTGAGTCGTAAGAGCTCTGGAATGAAAATGTTTGCTATCCTTTACTCAAAGTCCAAATGTTAGTTTGCAAAAATATACGAATACTTATGTCTTTCGAATATTGATGTAATATCTGGTCTGGTGCTTCTGCTATGTATTCAGAGATTCTTGATAAAATCCAAAGAAGAATTTGCAATGGAATTGGTCCTGACCTGGCATCTCGGCTTCAGTCACTTTCACACCGCCGTTACGTAGCTTCCCACGTTTCATTTTCTATAAATACTTTCCTCTATTGTACCTAGACTTTATGAATTTAAATACAGTACCAAATAGCCGGAAAGGTCTTATCAATTCATAGTTTAATTATCTAGATGTAACCATTCAAGTTCTATGATAACTGTTTCTTTCCTCGCACTTCTCACTTGTGGAACTTTCTTCAGGCGCCATGCTTTCCAGTCAACTTTTTTCAGCAAAAATCTAAATGCAATGTCAATCGTTATCGACAGTTTTCTTGAGTACTCTTCTATTGTTCTCGCTCCTTAATAATATTTCTCTTTCTTTTCTTGTTCTTCCACAATCAGTAACCCCTTGTGTCTTAGTGGCTTTACTGCCTTGCATGGGGTGATATAATCAAAAAATATTCTGCGTAGTTATGAAGAATAGTAGATAAAATGAACATGAAAGAAATATAAATCAAATAATTATTAAAGTAAAACAAATAATTATTAAAGTAACATGGTAAATAGCATGACAAACATTAACAGCCTGACAGTTGTTAATGTTTGTCATGCACTCTAAATTATTAATTAATCGTGAATACCTAGTAATAATAGATTGACTGCTTGGTTCCGAGTATACTAGTTTCAAACAGTGGCTTGCTAATCCCTGTTGCAGACTCTTGCTCAGGCACATTTTGTGTTTCTTAAACACTGCAACTATGCGGAGCAGAGCAGTTTCTGCGAGGGAGCGCATAATCTAACGTGTTCAGTAGTTAAACAATGCCTGTATGATCAAACCCTCTGTCACGATGACTTGTAACTTTGTACTAACACAATAATGAACGAACAGTTTCGTCTACCATTTATTTTCACGTCCGCAGCCAACGTATAGTACGGTAAGAGAGTCCAGGGGATGGAGAGTTCTGGCTTTACTTTGGCCTCTCTTCGTCTGCTCTATTTTACTTCTGGTGTTTGAGGAGGATGTCGTTTTGGGGGTGACTGCTCTTCTGTAATTGGTTCTTTCTACAACTTCTGCCCGTAATTAACCAGACTGATTTCTGTTCTCGGCAAGGTGTTTTTCAGCTAGTCCTTGAATCCACGACATGCGGCTCGCATCTAGTAGAAGTTAATATCTAATTAATGTGTTCATTCACATGAATCCATATCTATATACGTGTATTGAGGAAACTGTAAGACAAAATGAAAAAAAAAATGTTTCATCCGTTAGGAATTCATCGGACTGTGTTTATTGACGTTGTTGTGACTATACATGCGCATGAACGAGAGGTGCTGATAGTTTCAAAATTTTTTTGAAAGAGTTTTTGCAATCTAGCTAGATTTCTTTTTTGTTCCATCATATTTGTTTTTAAATACCACACATTGTGATAACAGAAAATCTACCAAGAATAGTGAAACGTTGTAAGAATCTGGACGTAAATTTACTGTAGCTGAATCAACGGTTAAAGCACTTTCTAGACATTTTCGTCTTAGTGAATGTTTTTAATATACCTCTTTTGTTTTCATATAGTCTTTTGTTTAAACTTCTTGCGGTTTCTCCAATATATTCTTTCTGGCAATCCTTGCAGTTGATAGAATAAATTCATCCTTCAAGTTTTGGCTTGTTTTGTTTTGTATTGATTAAGTCTTTTATTGTTTTAGATGTAGTGACAAATTTTATGTTGAGTTTAGATAAATTCTTTTCGGTTGTAGTCAGTGGCGTAGCTGGGGGGGGCGAAGGGGGCGGACCGCCCCGGGTGCCAGCACAGGAGGGGTGACAAATTGTCACCCCCCCAACAAAATTTTTCAACCAGGCTGAGGTGCCAAAAATAGTTTGAAAACAGTGGTGGAGACACAGGGTTTCGCAGGCGGGCATATGACCTCCCAGAAATAATTTATGACCCCCCAGTTTTTTCCCCCCGTCAGAAATTTTCTAATAAATTATCAGGAAATTTGTGAGTAGGAAAAATAGCAATGTTTTGTGCTTTCATCTGTTTCAGTTGCTACAATCTTGGTTACTAACAAGAGACATTGTTGTAACATTTTATCGGATGATATGGTGTTTTAACTCTGCATCATTAATAACGACAAAGCGAAATACGAAGCCAAAAGTGCAACAATTTCAGTCTTGCCTGTGTATCAATTCGCTGGGATACAATTTTCCATTGAGTGAGCGATATACTTTTGAATATATCTACTAGTGTTGGGGGTATCGGAATCGGAAAAATTTGTGCCTATTTTCCGATTCCTAAAACGATTCTTTTAAATTTTTAACTTAATTTTCCATTATTGGTACTAATGATAAATATTTATTGTTTTTAAATTATCACTAAAACTAAAATCATAATAACATCAAAATACGATGTAAATTTATTTTACTTGTATAAAGAAAAACAAAAAAATAAACTTTGCATAAATTCTCTAGGTAACCTTTAAAAGAATGCAGTTGATTTACAATGTTCCGAAAAATGCTTAAAAATTAAATAGAACATTTTGTCAAGAAAAATACTTTCAAACATCATTGATAATTAAATATGGTACCCAGAAAATGATGCAACGGAAAATTGGACACCGGGAAATTAGCAACAGAAAATTACGTCAACCATGAGCCAGTCGAGACTGTCGGATCTGGCTGTGCTGTCCATTGAAAACAAGCTTACAAGACAAACAGATTTTGACGTTGTCATTGACCAGTTTGCCACAATGAAAACAAGAAAACATTCATTCTAAGACCATAGTATCGAATGC